TAATTAATTCACTTAAAAGCAAATTTAGATTAATTTCCTCAAGTGTTTGGATATTAAACTTTTCTTTTAAGCTTTAACTTTTTATGAGGCTTTAATTAAACAGTCTATGGCTTAAGAACAAAAAATAAAAAATAATTTTAAAAAAGCACTAGATTATGCCTGCTGTCTCCAGCCTCCGCACTTTCCAGTCTCTAATGAGTCTACAGGAGTCTTGTTCAAACCAAGGCAGGTCCACAGCAGCATCACTATTTACCAAGAGCGGCTTTCTGTGACAGCCAGAGAGTGACATCCACACCTCAGTGTGCTATCCAAGCTTACCTTCCAGCATGAGGAAAGAAGCATGCACACCTCTCCTGAAGGAGACCACTAAAACGGCTCACATAGTGCTTAGACTGAGTAGGAATTGCATGACGATTAAAAGGTGTTAGTGTTTTTTCTATTATAGCAATGCCGCAAATCAAGTTGAAGGCCTGAACTTACTACATACCATTTGACAGAGTGAAGAAATAGATGATGCCTCTCTCCCAGAGGTTCATAATTTGTGCAGAAAAGATAACCAGACTGTCCTTCTTCAAAAGCTTGGCTGAAATTTCCTGTAAATATCTGTTGAGAAAGCTCATTGCTCTCCTTCAGAGTCTTAAAACTTTCCATTGATACGACAACTTCAAAGGCTCATTAATAAACCACTTGATAATACGTCAAAATCCTTAGCATCTCACTAACCTGTCCCCTTCCTGTCTTTCTATTTCTATCCACCTCTTCGTCTCTTGATTTACTGTTCTGTTTTTTAAATCGTTGGGAAATTACTACCTTTTTACCCGTACTTCTGTGCACTGCCATTCCTAGACCCTGGGGCAATGAAAAGAATGAAATATTTCAAGTGAAAAAGAGAACTGGGATTAAAAAAAAGGGGGGGTTTCCCCGAATAAGCCAGTTAATAGAACAGGTTAATGATATGTTTTGCACCTTAATAAACATCAAAATAGGTGAAAGATTTATAAAATATAGACCACAATTGAGCATTGTTTCTTTATCAGTGTATTCATTATTGCAGACTCTTTTCTTTGGTAGTAAAGTAGAAGCATGAAACATCAGAGGAAATTAAACATGTTTAGAAAAACAAGCTTATTCTAAAAGGCGGAAGCCAGGACCATCTTATAGCATTTCAACTTTAGGCTTGATAAAATAATTTTGTCAGTGGTCTTCAATATTTTTCTCCCTTAAATGACATTTTAGGTTGGTGTTAGATGAGCTATATTTTCAAAATAGTGTACAGGTGAGACACCTTATATTTGTCCAACCTCTATGCTGCACAAGATTTAAGTTTTGAATATATCTAATTTTAGGGAGTGAAAGACATGTTAAACTGCATAAAATTGGAAAATCTCACTAGGATGAAAAGCTGAGAAGTTTCTAGGAAAATTTCTTCACTTCCTATGATTATTCATGTGTTCTTAATGACAAGGGACTAAAAGCTTAGCTTCTGCAAATATCCTCCCAAAACATCCTACAGTTTTCAACATTAGCATGGCATTTAATATCTCTAGAAAAGAAAGTCAATTTAACTATTAGTCCATGCCACTATCTCATGATGTGAGATTCAACTGAAGAGTAAACAAGTTCCTACAACACTTGAAGGACAAGAAACACAGCCACAAACTCAAAGAAAGGAACATTTTTGAGATTCATTATTGAATAAAGGCAGTTATAAATAAATAAAAATTCAAGCCTAGTAAGAGCTTTCAATCATCTCAAAGGAAATGTAGCAGTTCTTTCTGTAAATCTATGTTTCTGTGGAGTCCTGGGTGGACTAGAGGATCACATTATAGAGAACAACATGGGTTCGGTTTGCCTGGGTTGAACTCCAGCTCTGAGCACAGTTGTTCCTGAAATCATCCATTTTTAGACAGACCAACTTGGAAATTCTACATCTCTAAGACTTGACAGAAAACAGAAGAGACAGAAAGAGAAACAGGCTCGAGATGCAATCTGGTTCCGCCAGGTCTTAATGACAGAGATTTTTTACTGTTCTTAGCCAGAAGAGCTGTTTCCCATCATTGCCATCTTTTGGTCTTCAGCTCATTTAGGCAGCAACTCATAATCACCAAACACTGTGTTGTAGGGAAGTAATAATATTAATGATATATAAGCAATCAAACAAGGAATATTTACAGTGACTTCTTCAACCTCTCATAACAAAACTCTGATTTATTTTGAAAGCTAACATGAATATGACCACAGAAAGCCAGAAGTTAGAAATAACTACAGCAGGCAAATATCAGCTGAACAGATTTTGAATGAATTCCACAGCAACAAGAATATCAACCTGCGATTTCCTGTTTCAAGACCTTTCCTCAGCATCTCCCATAATTAACACAGCTTTTTAAAAACTATTTCTTTATTTTCCCTGAAGTTCTTCATGCATTATTAGATACATTTTTGATTCAAATAAAACCTTCATAATCTCTTTCAAAGACATTAGTATAACATCCTTACAGATTGTGACTTATCAGCTGTGTTTCACACGCTATGAAATCTTGCATAATATTTCAGTTCTAAATATCCAACTTGAATTGCCATCAAAAACACCCAATGATACTTTATTTCCTTTGTATCAAACACTACTCAAATTCAATATTGAATATATTAAAAACATATATAACTAAAGGGTTATTTTGATGAATGATCTCATTTAGCAACATAAAAATACCTATCCAAAAGACCTTTCAATAATAATTTGGCTTCTGGCTACCTGTTATAGGTATATAAGCATATATCTCATATCTGGAAAGTCTGTCTTCAAACCTAAGCATATGGTTTCCTTTAGGAAGAGAAAACTAAGCAGATGTTATAAAGCCATTTAAGGTCACGACAGTATTTTGCCAGAAGCACAGAGCTGAGTTGCAGCTATGACACCATAGCACTGTGGTACTTGAATAGAAAGCTGCAACAACTTGAAGACAGGATTTATTAAAAACATGAGGTTAAAAACAAGCAGTTGCATTTCCTAATGATAATACACATGCAGAAGCACAAATATTGCCTATGACAACGGTGGCTTTTAATTTCATCGCTTGAGAACACAAATGCAAGATGCTGTCCCTTCTCAAAGAAAGAATATTCTGTCCCTCCTTTACTGAGATGCTCAAGAGCACTCTTTATCCACTAACAGCCATCACTAACACAGGCACTGCTAGCCACATAAATAGGGCTGCAATCTTTCCCCTCTACTGTCACTTTCTAGGGGCAGATTTGGGGATAACATATTTGCAGAACATTCAAGACTTAAGAATTCAAATTTGAATTCCAATATCGCAATATGTTCAGCAGCAGATTTCTAAAAAGATATGTGGAATTTAGTTAAAAAAAGAGAACAAAAAGCTAAAACTGAAACTGAATTCTCTTTTACCATGTAGCTCAAGTACTCCTTCAGAGTACTCAGAAATTTCTAGCGCTTTAAGCACAGGATCTGGAAAAACATTTGGAGGAAAAGGTTGTACTGGCTGTAGCCATCTTATAGAAGGGGACTTCTCCAAGAGAGCTCTGTGACAAATCTCTCAAAACCTAGTTTTAACATCCAACATATCTGCCCTACTAGAGTCGTTTAACACGTGAATTCTTCACCAAGCTTCCTGTGGGCTTGTGCCCTGATTCCTTCCCAACTTCTGATGCCTAGCGGGAACCCTGCCGCAGCCAACGGCACAGCACCCCTGCTGCTGGCTCAGGCCTAAGGCCACCCCCAAAGCTCACTGTTTCGCTCCTGGGTGGATGCAGGTGTCTACAGAAAAAGAACAACAGCAGAGGACGACCTTATATATCACCTCCCTTAAAGCCTTCTGAGACACCCAAGAGTTTTGATCAGAGACTGAGGAGGTTTAGACAGAAATGACTTCCCAGATCAAACACTTTCTCTCCCACACTTACCAGTCCGCAGTTATCCAAACCCATTAAGGGAAGACAAGCAGTAGAGGACTATGACACATGACTCAGAAAGGAGGCAAATTCCTTGGATGTGCCTCTAGATCATGAGGCAAAAACATCTGGTTATCTGTTTCTTAAGTAAAGTCAGGCTAAGCTTGCTAGCATATCAATCTATCTACAGCAAGAACATTCGTTATTTTCTTGCAAGTGTGAATGTATTAGAATTTCAGTACTTCCCACTAATGTAAACAGGCACTCTAGGATTTTACTACTGTGTTGGAGTTCTGAACTTGAACAAGTAACTCCACCAAATGAGCACAGAAAAGTTCTGCACAAGATTTCTGCAGTTGAAATTCTACTACACCTCTCTCTCTCACCCAGAATATGTTACAGTAAATCCAAAATAGGCTATGAGACAGATTTACCATGCTCAGCTTGCTGCTCAGGAAGAGGAATACTGACTGATCTACTTTTAAATGCAAGCTGTAGTTGCCCACAGAGAATCACTACAATTGCCAACTGTTTCTGTGGGTCAAAGCACTCTTTAGGCACCCTTTTCTGTATCTGAATTGCAGTTCAGACACTGTATGTGTGCAATATATGTCTTAGTCCAAACTATGAAATGCCAGTCTGATCAACAGATTGACCAACAGGTAATGACTGAACTCATCAAATATTTCTTGATTGCTTTTTCAAACAGACCCCATTACTTATCAATTAAGCAGTCAAATAAATACATAATTAGCAAGTAAGGCAGCAAAAATCTGCTCGGCTAATCTATCACATCTCTCTTACACTAAAGCATTCCTAAAAAAAGAAGCAAATTATCTAACAGCTGAATTGAATCAGTATTACCTAAATCTCATTAACTCTCCTAGGGTGGCTTAGGTCACTTAAGTTGCTTTTACTCCATGCTTCTGGGAGCACCTTTACATGATTTGAAGCAAAGTTTAACTAGTACATTTAAACTTAAAACCTTTAGCTATCTCTCCAACTTTAAGTTTATATGATGGTATTATCTAATCCATAAGCCAATGACTTGAGAAATACTAAGGCGAAGTTTACCAGCACTTACTCACCTCCACGATCTCGTGCTGCTAAGTGCTGTCCTCTTCTTAAAGTAATGTCCAACTGGTACATACTGGGCTCCGCAGAGGGCAAATGGGCATTACTAGGTCCAACTGAATTTGTTGTCTAGAGGGAAAAGGAGAAAAAAAAAATCAGTCATTAATGTTACTAAAATTTTCAGCTAAGGTATGTGTTTTTTCCTCCACTGGAGTACAACCAGGAAGGCAAAAACAGCCGAGGGCTTACAGCACCATCTGGACTAGTGATTTCCCGTACCCTCAAGCCTTCTATGTAATAGCAATAATCTAGTCAGTGAATAAAATTCTCTCTTTCTTCTGGCTACTTATAAATGCATTTACAACTTTGCCAGTGACTGAATTATTTAGCAAAATGTGTGTTTTTTCCATTGCAGGGAGAGGAGAACATCATCAAATTCAGTTGTATCTCTTCCTTTGTAATGTGTTTGTAGTTTGAGTAAATAGTTCCTGTTTGCCAGGGCAAAGATAAATCAGGGCTCCCACAGCAGTTACTTGCATAAGCTGTAACACGAAACAAATAGATAAATAAAAAGCCAGAACCAAAGGAACTCTCTGGACTGAATCAGTGTAGATCTCTTCCAAATGACAAAAGGAGAGAAATGAAATTTTCTGCTAAACTTAGCAACTTCTGGAAAAGAGATCTTATAACACCTCTTTCTAACTGACTTCTAAATACACTTCTTGCTTGAAATATCATATTTCAATCTAGAAAAACTATGACTGTTATATATTCACAGGACACACAGAAGCTTCATATATTATACGCATGTAGTGCAATCACTCCACAATTTTATGCTGAGATATAAATTTTTAACATTAGTGCTATCAATATTTTATTATGTGATTTTAAGCCCTCTATAAGTGTGTCGGGGTGGAAAGAAGCATGATGAGTGTCTGTGTTCTCCAGGATGTTTCTAAGTCCCACACCACTTCAACAAGAAACTTCCAATTTCATTTCTCTTCCTACCCCCCACATTTTTAAGGGTAATAACGAAACTAAATCGTGAAGAACAAGCACAAAATAAAGCAAACTAAGGAGTCTTATATGCCAGAGTCAAGACTCAGAGCCTCATGAGACTCTCACAGAAGTCACCCACAGCCGCCTTCTGAATAGCCAGCTACTCACTCATCACCTTGTTGCTTCTTTTTCTGCTCCCCTCTCCGAAGTACTGGCCACAAAAAGAGGCAAAGTTACCATAAGGGGAACCAAAATCCTCCCACCAGTTCTGCAGTGCTCATGCTTTAGTACAGACAAAAAATGGTAAATGAGCTGCACTGAAACTCAGCCCAGGGCATGATGTGTAAGGAAGAATTTGGCTTTGGGAGAAAATAATGAACACTAAAATTTTCCCTCCTCTTTCTTGCCTTTCTACATGAGCTTGCTAATATAAAATAAATAAATTGCTTAACTGCCACATCCTACCAAATGACATCAAGAAAAATGTATTCTCTGTAGCCAGAAGAAACCTCATCACAACCGGAAGTGGTTGTGGCCCACAATGCTGTTTCACACCGGCTCTTACAGAGTGAGAACAAGCTCATAGAAGGATCTCCTGCCCTCACTTTCAGTATCTACCCACAAGGTCTTGAACATCCTTTTCCTTTACTAATCCTTTAGCAAAAACTTTGATATTCCCATTCAAAAGTATAAAGGCAATTTATTAACCATTTCACTTCTATGAAAGTAAAACCTTCTGAGGGAAGGCAATGCCTGAATTTATGTCTTTGGAATGATTTTTATTAGCAGTCTTGTCATTATTGTACTTTAAAATATTCTTCTTAGTGCAATTATGACTAAATTTTAAGACTTGATAATCTCCCATAGAATCCCTATTAATCTGGTTCAAAGGAAACCTTTTGTTTGCCACTACACACGCTGCTGCTGAAGTCACTGCAAACAGTGAACTTCAATGGCTCCAGTCATGATGAAAATGCTTCGTGTGAAGAAGGTCAAGAGAGGGATCTCACTAATGACACTTCTTCTGTTGTGCTCTTGGTTTTTAACAGATATTGAACTCTCATGGGCTGTTCTTTTGCTGAGCAGCATGAGTAACACTATGAGCTACTTTCCTTTTAGGTGACACATTCATGGCAATTTCTGCCAAAGCCTAGATTTAAAATGAATGAATCTACAGCTACAACTCATTCATGACTCATGATATGACAAATAGATGTTCAAACGTGACCAGAACATATGCACTGTGGTTGAGCTGACCTGCTCAGTGCATTCACACTTCCAATGAGCTTTTAAGTGGCACTCTTCCTTTAAGCACATTTTTCAAGATATCTACATTATAGATAGTCTTTCATCTGAAAGACTATTTCCAATAGCTTAAACCCAGGAAGCATTAATAAGCCAATACATATATAAAAATAAATATAGGCATCCTCATCATTAAACTAGACTGATTGTTTAAAAATATGAAGATGTTTATCTAAAGATTAGTCATCTACTGAAACAAGAGTCAGAAGACATAAGATACTGCGGTGAACTCAGGCAGAACAGGCTCGTGGCCATCCTACAGGCCGCACAAAATACCACAGTGAGCATCTGAGCACGTTAATACAAAGGAAGCCTCTTTATCAATTTCTATACATGTAATTGCACAAAGTGTTATTGTTCAAGGAAATTGAATCGTTCTTTGGTCTTCCAATGCTTGGTGTTAGCATCCTCTCAGGGGGTTGTACTATGCAAGCTGACACAAACTGCAAACTATTTTCAGACTGGGGATAAAAGATCTGGATTTTCCCAATTCCTAATTTATGTCCCAGGTCCATGGGACATCAAAGGAGGAAAAAAAAATCTGATAAATTGCTAGATCTGCATCAGTACCAAAGCCGAGCAGCTGTGCAATTTTACACTAAATCCAATACTTCTGCTTTGCCAAGCATTCACTAGTAGGAGGGCAGTTTCTGCTCAATAGGAAGGAGAAATGAGGCCATTCTGCAACTAAGGATTTACCAAAATCACCACCATGGCCACATAACATCATTTTTATATTTCATTAAAACCACAGACTGCAAAACAAGAGCAAAAATTAGAACTACGATGATGTCCTAGATGACACTTTGTAGCATGCTAGCATTCTGCTTGGTGGCAAATCAACAAAAGCTGAGGAAGAGCTGAAGAAAAAGGAACTAAACCCCTGTAAAACAGGGCTATATTTCAAAGCAAATATAAAAGAGCATTCTGGGATTTAAAATATTATCAGAAATGTGCAGAGACTAGCAACAGCATTTTATAGCGGCTATCAACAGGCTTTCTGATTACCCACATATGTGCTTCAGCCAGGACTTGCCACTGGTGAAGTCTGTCACATAACAGATGCTTCCCATAGATATGATATGGCTGTTTAGAACTACATTAAAAAAAAAAAAAAAAAAAAAAAAAAATAAACTCGGGGTGTCAAAATTTTTTGTTGGA